GGAAGAAGGGGGTGGGGGGAGACGGCTTCTGAAATGGAGCCAGCCCAAACGGGAGACGATGCTGGAACAGGGGCTGCGTCATTTCGGGGCTGGGAGTGGGCTCAGCTCCCCTCCGCCGCTTCCCTGTCTGCAGGCAGGGAGGACCGATGCCAGCAGGCCAGGGCAGGGTGCGGGGCGCTGTGGGGTCGGGACCACCTCCGCCCGCCCTTCTCCCCAAGCCCCCGGGGCCGGGACGGGGAAGGAAAACCCCACACTAGGAAAAGAGATGAACCACCTTCAATCCTTCTAGCGATGTCAGAAAAGACAGGGGCAGGGAGAGAAATGCGGGACTCGTCGGCCACAAGGCAGTAGGCAGCACCGGCCACGAACGGGGGCCTGAGGCAGGGCCAGCTCCCGCGGGGGTAACAGGGTCCCGGGACGGCGAGGGTAGGCGGAATGATCGGCATTTATAACGCCGGGGGAGGCTCACAGCCTTTCAAAGAGTTTCAGCTGGGTGAGTGGAAATGCCTTCTGCCACTTTCACATATGGAAGCACAGTGATCTCTGAGGGGGGTGGGGGGGGAAGCAATTTTTTTTTTTCTTCTGGACAGTGGATCTCTTTGAGCTTATTGTCATGTCCTATGGCAGCAATTATAAATAAACTTTCTTTCTGCAGAGAGGAAGTAGCACAGACTGAGGGTCTGTGCTAGCGAATGGCCAGCAGCTACCCTGATCTTTGCTGGCCCATGCCGGCGAGGTGGTGGCCTAGCCCTGTACTGAGAGACTGTGGGCACACTGTGCTGCACGTCTGAGGCTTAATAACTGGCCTGGGAACACCTTTCCTTCTTTCAACTCTGCCCATACAGTCCAAGACAGTTTCCTTCTGGAGTTCATCTCCTCAAAAGCTTTCTAAACTCAGCTTCAAATATTCATGTTCATATATTTTTCATTTTTTAAAAAATTATTTTCATACCACCCCATGTGGTACCATGTTTAAAAAGCAAAGCTGCTCAGTGGGCTGAGATCACAGGTGCCATCATGGAGGTCTGTGGTGAGTGTCAGTAAAAAGCAAGAGAGAATTAAGTCCCCAGGCAAGATTACAGTGCTGGTACACAACCATGTACAGCCTTGTCCAAGCCTTCTATGGCACCTGCCAGAGCAAAGGTGTTGCATGTAAAGTGCTGAAAATATTGACCATAATCATTATTGTTAAGTGCATAAATTTTTTAGCTTTTTTTTATGACTCTGCGCATGTGTGTGTGGGCAATATGTGTGCATACTCATACAAACACATTTATATCTGTGTATATATTCAATACTGTTAAACTAAGCAGTGATTTCTCTCCTACAGATAGTTGTATAATACACATATAGTGATGATACCTAAGGTGTTTGGGGGTGGGGATGCATAATATCTTATAAATTTGAAGTTTTTATCAGGCAGAGCAGATTACTTTAAGCGTTCAATTTCTCGGCGATCCAATTTTATTAGGATTTACTATCATTTGTGCTGCACATCCCTGGGGAAATAATGCTTTGATTAATGTAATCCTGGGCTGGGATCCGCCACATGCCCCTCTCCCAAGAGAAGGGCCCTGTTTGACAAACAAAAATAGAGCAGCAACTATTGCAATCTGCACTCACCTTTCGTAAGCACATAGACCCACACACGCACACAGACACAAAATATAACCCTCTCCTCCCCCCAACCCCAAATACAATAGCAGCATCTCAAAACAATGTGCGCTTATTCATTTACACACAATGACTCTGATTCAATGTGGGCTGTACAGTCCAGCCCTCAAATGCACAGAGACGGTCCAAAAAGGACTCTGCTCTGTCCCCCGCTGAGAAGCTGAAGCATCTCTGGGAAGCTCAATGCTTCTCTGTGTTTCAGGCCCTCCTTGGGCTCCCAACATTTCTGCCTCTTTGTTTCCCACTGCAGGGCTTGCCACAAACCGATTTCAAGTCTTCTCCTTCAGACCCAGGGGCTGGAGAAGCTGTCCCTCCGAGGCTCCCTGGCACCTACCAGGGGGACATGTACCTCTCTAAATGGGCCCTGGTAAGTGAATCACAGCCAAGCACTCTGCTCAGCTCGCAAGGAGAGTGGGGGGACCCAGAAAACGTCAAACAGAAAGACTTGTCACATACATTTTTAAAGGGAAAAAAATAAGTATTCCTCCGCCTTTGGAGGTTTCTGGGGTTTGAGCAGCTTTGTTCCAGCCACAACCACCACCCCCCGCCCCCCTCCCGCTCCTTCTGTTTGTGTCAAAGGCTGGCAGGAACAATAGCGTTTAAACAGAAGTAAACATGCCCAGATCAGAGCCCAACCCAAGAGAAAGGGAAAGCTTTCTTTACATCCCTAGGTGAACTGGCCGGTGTTTCCCCCTTTCCTCCTTCTCCCCTCAAGCCCACAAAACAACGTCCATTCCTGGCAGCCCAAATAGCATTTTAATGTTGCATTTCTTCCCTCCACCCCGCTGGAACAAAGCGGGTCCCACTGCGCCTGAGGAGAACATACAGTCTCACAAAAAGGGCTCTGGCCGCAGTTAGGCCACTCTTTCCCAAGTCCGGAGTAATAAATCCAGGGGAAGAAGGAGGGGAGGGATCTCCAGGCTGGAGATGAGGAGGGATGCGGTTTGCGCCGGGGTTTTCAATAAGCTGCTGCTCTCTCCTTCGTGTTTACCCACTGACCCCCAATACGGTGACTCAGCGATTACAGAGCACTGGGTGTCTGTGTGTGTAAGGGTGTGAAGGGGAGCGGGGGGATTTCCTCCCCCTTTTCTCTTGCTTTTCTTTCCTGATGAAAAACGTTGCAATTACATTTCTGCATGCTGATCAGAGAGTTCAAATAACAAGCCTTAAACGCGTTATCAGGCTCTTGTTAAAGAGGGAAGTGAAGGGGGGAACAAATCCAGAGGTATACTCCCGGATGTATGTATACCTATATATGCACACACCTATAAAGATACATATTTAAATGTCAGACTGCTACAAGAAGACATGGGCTGTTGTTCAGCCAGAGTGCCCTCACACCGGCAGAAGAGGGAAAAGCCTCAATTTAAAACACCAACCAAACTAGAGAAGAAAGAGCAAGACGCACAAATCACTCCAGGGAAAAGTTATTTAGACGCAATCTCTAGATTTTCCCAGTGCAAACTGACTCTCCTACCGGGTTTGATCCAGTTTTCCTGCTTCCCTTCCCCCTCCCACCCCGGGGGGATCCATCCCTATTTCGCGTTTTCCTTCTCAGAAGTGGCTCCTGCCGCCCCGCCCGGGAGGGCGTTTGCCGGGACCTCGGCGTGGCCGCGGCCCGTTCCGCGCCCGCGGAAAGGCCG